AGGATTAGGTGGGCGCTTAAACCTTAGATCCTGCCGGCTAACTCGCTACCGGACAGGAACTAATGTTTCTCGGCCGTTGCTGCCAACCGAAATCGCCCCCTGACATCTCCGCTGGAGCTTTCTGGGCCGCATTGCGTGACAGTGGGCGACTGCTCTTCCTTCACGCACTCCGTATACGTCTAGCCCCCCCCCCCCTACCCCTCACCCCCCCACCCCCACCCCACACCGACGTTTTTTTTCTGACAACTATGCCCCTTCCGCGGGGGACTTTTGGTTTCTTTGTTGATTCTCACTCCAGTTCAGAGCACTTCCCGAGCAAGTCCTGTTCTAAGCTACCCTTCCTCTGCCGACGTCTTATTTACTCTTTGTGTTAGTCCCATTTTTCAGTATGGAAAGTTGACTGGTAGCCAGATTTGACACGACCACGCTTCTTCCCTTAGGCTTTGTGCAAACATTTTGGGTTCTTTCTAACATGCTCAGTTTGTCCGTTAGTTTATACGTTAACCCGCATTCCTTGTGCAATAAAACCGTCTAGAAACGTCCGACAGCACCTTTATCAAAAGCCCGAAATTCCCTTCTTCGTATTCTCTTTTCTAGAGCGGAGCTTAAGCTCGGATTAAGGCACGCGCTGCAGAAAAACTCAGTTCAGTGCGCGCCACGGATGTTGGACAACCTGCACTTCCGAGTATGCAGCTTGTCCAACTTACAGTAGATGGAGAGAGTGGAGTGAAAGAAAGTGCGGCAAGTGGTCGGGAAAAGAAGGCGGGGCCTCGGTAGAGTAAAGCCCAGTAGAATTACTGTATTACTGAATTACTGTATTACTGTATTACTGTATTACTAAATTACTGTAGTAGAATGAGCAGTACTGAGGCTGGAACCCGAGAAGTGGGACAGAAGTGAGCGAGGTCTCTGCACGGTGACATGGAGAGGAGGAGAGAAACAAAGAAAGAAAGAAAGAAAGAAAAGCTAGGAAGTGGAGAGGCGGACAAGCGAAAAACAAAAACAAAATTAAATTTCTTAGCGAGGTGGGCTTGCAACCCATGGTCCGGAGGTGAGCGTCATAGCCAACCGGCTGTACAGACACTCTTTCATTGGAACAGTATGATTGCGTTTCTGTGGGCAATAAGATGCGAAAAGAATAGAGGGAAAGAGAAGCAGAGAGTATAGAGAGAAAGAGGAATAAGCAGAGATAAAAAGAGCTTCAGCTGAGCTTTGTCGAGCTTTGCTGCCCCTCTCTAGGCCCATGAGACTATATTTATAGCCTAAACGACCATTTTTAGGCCCACCCAGTTGCATTGTTTCTTCAGGCTTGGTAGTATTTTTTCTTTTTGCTTTCTCTGTAGTAACCGGGCTCAAAAACATAGTGCGCGGATCCAGTGCCCCTGAAAAATGAGGCCTTCCACGAGGCATTCCAATGAGCCTTCCAATGAGGCATTCCACGTCGTATATATAATCTACTCGCATCGTTGTGACGGTGCGTGTGTGTGTACGTGGAGCGGGCATTAACTGCGGCAGCATTCATTCATGTGAATCGCCGCGGGATAGCGCTAACCTTTGAGCGCGTGACGATGCTTCGTCATCGCTCGCTTTAATTCGCCATCAAGGGCTGCTCCAGCACCTGTCCTGACCCCGTAAAAAAGGAACAAAAGACGTAAAAAGGAGGTCCCCCTCAACCACAACTGCTCTCGCGTGGCACTCAACGCGTGGAGGAAAGGTAAGGCGAAAAAAAAAAATGAGAACACTGGGATTCTTGAGTACAGTGCTTACTAACATCGTCTCTAAGGTGCGTGCCCGTGGGGACCCGTGAGCGGACGACTCTAAATCCTTCCCGCGGTTGACTAGCGAAGAGCCTCGGCCCTCGGTGACAGGCTGTGACAAATGCTCGGGATGAAGCGGAAATCTGGGGCCTTCGGCGATAATGGATCCCGCTTGCCGGCAGCAGTAGACCTTTGTCCTCGGCTGAGTTAAAGGGAAGGTGATACACCCTGGAGGCCCCCCCCCCCTTTTTTTTATTGTTTATTCACTGCTCTTCACCCGCCGTTTTCTCCCCAATTTATTCATTTTGGTTCAGAAAAACAAATAGCCACTTGGTTTTCTCGAGCTTGACCTTGTTTTATTCCATACTCTTAGACTATTCAGAGGCGTTTGACGTGGTCCCACATTAAGATTTAATCACAAAACTTCAGGCTTTCGGTATTGATGACACCTTAATCTCGTGGATTTCCAGCTTCTTAATGAACAGAACACAACGTGTAGCCGTAAACACGCATATGTCCGATAGCCTCCATGTGTACTCGGGAGTACCGCAGGGTTCAGTCCTTGCGCCTCTACTATTCCTTATTTATATCAATGATATCCAATTTTGTATCCAGTCACCAATCCAGATGAGGCTTTTCGCAGATGATTGTGTCGTGTATACAGTTGTAAGACATTCGGAAGACCAAATCGGCTTGAACAACTCTCTAAAAAATATTCGCGCTTGGTGCCAGAAACGGGGCATGAGACTGAACGCATCTAAAACCAAATGCCTCACATTCACTAACAAGAAGAATCCGCTTAAGTTTTTGTACACTTTAGAAAATATGGAACTCCCTAAAAGTGATCAGGTGAAATACCTTGGTGTCACGCTTTCAGCAAACTTAAGTTGGGAACCTCATATCGACACCGTCTGCAAAAAAAAAAAAACGGTAGGGAAGCTATCCTTTCTTAAAAGAAGGTTGCGAAATGCTCCGGCCCAAGTCAGATTAATTGCATACAAGACTCTTATTCGCCCTGCCTTATAATATGCCGACGTAATATGGAGTCCCCACCACCAACACCTAATAGACAAAATTGAACGCATTCAGAAATTAGCTGCACGGTTCATCTACTCTAATTATTCGCGGCATTCAAGCGTCACCGGCCTAATTATTAGAGCGAATCTTCAGCCACTTTCCAAACGAAGAATAATTTCTAGGTTAAAATTCCTATACTTACTCTATCACGGTGATATTAAGATACCGCGCTATCTGTACTTACAGGACCCATTTAAACACTCACTCAGGACAAATCATAACAAACTCATTTTTCAACCTGCTAGTCCGGTCAATACACCTAACTATTCTTTATTCCCAATGGCTATTAGTTTTTGGAATAGGTTGCCAGTCAATGCTGTGAATTGTTCTACGCTGGAATCTTTTGTCAACTGTCAAGAAGAGATTGATTTTTCTAAAAATGTATACATGTGAATCATGAAGTATCCTATGTGTATCAATACTTTCTTTCTTTTCTTTTTGTGGAGCGTTATTGTGTTTCATGTTACCTCTGTTTATCCACTCCTACATGGGCCTGGTTAGGGCCTGCAGTATATACAAATAGATAAATAAAAATATATTTCTCATTTGTCTTTAATTTGACGCGTTTTGCTATAGCACCGTTCACTTTCACCCTGTTTGAAAGGTCAGTGGACGCGACAAAAAAAAAAAATAGGGCGTAAAAGACTGTTAAACGACACTATACAGCAATTGGTGTACGATTGGTACACTTCATAGTGTTTATTTTGATGTTGGTACTTTATCTTTTGTTCTTACTGTTGTTGGGTGAAGGGGTATGACATGGTATAGAAAAATTTACCAGCTATACAACATTTATATGGTTCAACTGAGCCTCTTAAAAACAGTTATACGCACATACAATAGCCTCCTTTCCCTTTCATATATATATATATATATATATATATATATATATATATATATATAATCTTACACCAGTACAAATCCCAAAAGCATGCGTAATGAAGGCTACTGTATGTAAAATGTGACCACGTGTGTAATTGGCTTATTCCTGTGCGGTTTGTTTGATGTGCATGAAATACCATGCGCCTTTGTATACTGCAGAAGCCTGTCGAGTTTACTGAGTTTATCGACCTACAATGTGCAAAAACAAGGGAAGGTTAATTAACAACTAGTAAGCATTTCCATTGCGACATATCGCTGGCGTACAAAAATATTATTTCTGTGTATTGTGTCGCATCTCATAGCGAAAGTCACTCGCTACACAGGCGAGCTCAAAAAAAAAAAAAGAAGTACATACTTTCCAGAGTGGGCCCCAATGCATGTGAAAAATACGAAACTGATACATGGCGGCTCTTAATTACAAAGAGCTTCAGCCATTTGTTTATGGTTAGCTTGTATTTGCAGACGCAGTTTACATTGGCTTATTCCGTGAAACAAGATGCAGGTAACTGTATAGGAGCAAGTAAATATACTTGTGTTCACTATTACCGCAAAGGTTGGCTCGAAGAACTGAGCAACACACTCACAGACGCTTGCATTTTAAGATATTGTGTGTTTGTGCGACGATAAACTTGACAAAAGCATTAAGGTACATTTTTCAGTTGACCATAAATTTAAAAAAATATGCACACAAGAAAAAGTGAATAGGCCGAAGAGCATTTTCAAAGCGTAATTTTAAATGCGCACTCGTGAGTCAGTGCAAGCCACCTGTTAATGAATCTCTGTGCCAGGCATTTTTTCAACATCCCCCTGCATCTCATGTCCTTCGAGACTGCGCTTCGGAGTTATACTGTCAACAAACTTCCCATAGCTAAGTAATGTACCTTCTTCTAAAAGCTGCTTGAATGGAACAAGAGAATCAACGTGCATGGAGCTTGACTAGGTCAGAACAACCTCTACGCTGTCTTACACTGGGAAGTGAACAACCTATATATCCTAATCTAGAAATTTTGAAAGTTAAAAGTGTAAATAGCGAGGGAGCGTGCCAAAGAACACCACTTAACTTTGTAACACGTGTAGGCGTAAGAATAGTGAGGCCCTCGAGTATCGGTTTTTGCCATGGCTTGTGGCACACCCTAAGTGTAAGCTATAGGCAATGCGTGCCTTCACCAACATGTCATGTGTGAAATCAATGCGCTAATAGGACATTGTCTTTTCATTTGTGTCTTAATTCATGTGGGCAGACAAGCGCGTGCATTTGAGACGAGCGTGCACGTCTGTGCGCAGGTGCCCGGAGAGCGGTTGCCGAGCGGAATCACCAATGCGAGCGCCTCGGCGGCCATGCAGCCCTCGTCCGCAAGCACCCTGGGCTCGATCGCGAGCGTTCTGCCCACGCTCGAGGCGGCGGCCAACAACACGACGGTCGCGCTTCAGGAGGACGCCGTGCCTTCTTCGGGACATCCACTGGACAGTTGGGACCTATCGTGCCGCTACATCATCGGCACGTTCCTGCTGATCATCATTCTGACCGCCATTACGGGCAACATTCTCGTCTGCCTCGCTATCTACACGGACCGGCGGCTTCGCAAGCTGGGCAACCTGTTCCTTGTCTCCCTGGCCGTGGCCGACCTGCTGGTCTCGTCGCTCGTCATGACCTTCGCGGTCATCAACGACCTCATGGGCTACTGGGCCTTCGGTCCGCAGTTCTGTGACATCTGGATCGCCTTCGACGTCATGTGCAGCACGGCGTCTATCCTCAACCTGTGCGCCATCAGCTTGGACCGGTTTCTGCACATCAAGGATCCCCTGAACTACGGTCGCTGGATGACAAAGCGTGCTGTCCTCGGGACCATATGCGGCATCTGGATGCTGTCGGCGCTCCTATCGTTCCTGCCCATCTCCCTCGGCTGGCACCGGCCTTACCCGGACTCCCTGCTCGTCGTGAACGGCCTGACCATGTGCGCGCTGGACCTGACACCCGAGTACGCCGTCACGTCGTCGCTCATCAGCTTCTACATGCCGTGCGTCGTCATGGTGGCGCTGTACGCCCGTCTCTACCTGTACGCGCGCCGACACGTGCAGAACATACGCGCCGTCACCAAGCCGTGCGTGGTGAACAACAAGGACTCGGGTAGTCCGACCAAGTTCCGAGCCATCGGTGGACAGTCTTCCCTGCACGTGATGGACCACAAGGCCGCCATCACGCTGGGTATCATCGTGGGCGTGTTCCTGTGCTGCTGGGTTCCTTTCTTCTGCGCCAACATCGTGGCCGCCTTCTGTAAGACTTGCATCTCGGAGGAGTGCTTCAAGTTCCTTACCTGGCTCGGTTACCTCAACTCGGCACTTAACCCCATCATCTACAGCATCTTCAACACCGAGTTCCGCGACGCCTTCCGGCGGGTCATCACGGCTCACGCGTGCTGCAAGGCACTCGCCGAGCGCGCTCGTGCGCCCAGCGACTTGTCGTACCGCACCAAACGAAGCACCATCTGCGAGACACCTCGCGCCAACAGTCTGGCGGCGGTCAACTGCCGCCACAACAACGTGGTGACCGCCAGTGAGAGGATCTCGCTCCGGGCCGAAGTCGACACTCGTGTCGAGATCAGTATCAAGAACATTGGGGAAATTTCGGACATATAGCAGTGACGCACCTGAGAGCCGGCGCACCATGCCGTCTAACGTTCTCCTCGTATAACGACCCGCCTTCGAACTCACCCGGCGGACGTGTCTGCCGGAGGAACTGTGACCACGCCTATGCACAATGAACGAATGATGTCTGTACGTCCTCTGGCCGTGGCCTGAACCTACGGATGAACTGTAGGCCATGCCCTAATACAGAGCCGCGGACGGCGCGCCCAGGCTACTACTTATAATGACTCGAGCAGAGTGTTAAATGTCCTGCTCCCTTAATTTATTCAACGTGCCACACGCGCCCTGGTCAGTGATGGCCTGCATCCGTCATTACTACCTCATCACTCTGTGCACCACCATCTTTCGCTCGAGGAGCACAAAACCTGCTCATCCGGTCGAATCGAAACTCAGTGCCACCTATAGACCACTCGACTGGTCGATTACAACGTGCGAGTGAGTTCTGAGCGAACTTACTGCTTAACAAGACTACGTTCTGCAGATGATCGTGAGCAACTGTTATATAGCCCTACTCTTCGGTAAAGAAACGTTGGTTGGCGCAAGATACAACAAAACGGATGTTCGGCAGTCTGGGCGCGTGGCCACCCGTGAGAACCGCATCTTCCGGTGAACTGCACACCGTGTGGTGAACATTACGTCCGAGTTGACGTTTTTGTCGAGCACAGTGTGTACCCACACTTTTCAGACGATTCACGCTTTCGTCGAGATGAGCTCCCTTCGGGCGAAATCTGTATATTGTCCTAGTCGGCCAACTGCGCACAAACGCGCGCGCGCACACACTTAATGATATTCCCCGGTCACATGCGGCGCAGTGTTCTTACGGGAGCCCCCGACAATCGGTCACACGAGCCTGAAATCACACGTACGGGCATCACACGAAACCGGAGACTTAACAGAAATCTATACGGGACAGCTGTGAACGACACCGCAGCGTTCGCAGAGTTGTGCCTACTCAGCGACGAGTTTCAAGCCGCCAAATGCCTTGTTCACTGTCAGCTTCCTTCTGTCTTCGACACGAACCACTTCCTGTATACGCAGCGAGCGGGCGTCTTCAAGTGACTCGCACGTGTCTCGTGTAAGCACCGCGGAGGCGCAGAGCTGTTAAATTCACTCTTTACTCGCCCAAGAGGGACTATCACCGCGCTAAGCACCGACCCCTTCCTTGTACGAATCACTCAGTGAAGTCCATCACCAAGTATTAGCATGGTAGGCGAGATTGGATAGACGCCAGGTCTAAACCAAAACTGTTGATGAAAACAGGTGTAATGGTTAGCATGCTCTGCTGCTGACCTGAAGGTGGCGGGTTCGATCCTCGCCACGTAGGTCACATTTCGATGAGGCGAAATGAAAGAGGCCCGTGTACTGTGTGATGTAAGGAACAACAGCTGGTCAAAACTTCCGGAACCGTTCACTCTATAGTAGACTGTACCTTCACTAAGGCGTTCCTCGTAATCATATATCGTGATTTTTGGAGGTGAAACCTCAGATAATATTATTATAGACGAAAGACACCCTATGAAACAGGTCTAAATGTGCTACATGTCCGTGAGGTAGAGAAGAGTCCATTTTTGCATGACTAAGCTTGACAATTCACTCCTGTACAGATCAAACTTTGTGGCAATGCGTAGCATGGCGTCGATGAGTTAGGTCTTCTACCTCGTGGTCCGTCCGAATGAAACAGGGGCTGCATTTGAGGGCGTTCGATTGAAACATTAACAACAGTGCAAAAATTAAGTGCGAACAAAATCAGTCACTGTTACGGAGCGTTACTTAGCGTACCAGGGGAACAGTGCTTGGCGAAACAAACTGGCACATATTGGACCACTTTCCGCTTGCGCTATTTTCACGAGGCGCAAATGCCAGGAGCAATAAAAGCAACGGACGACAAAAGTGCCCTGGCCTTTAGTGGCAAACGCTCTTTAGTGGCGGTCAATAACTAGGCATAAAATTTTATATCGAGGCAAAGGAATCGCCGAAACGAATGGTTTCAGACCGCGGCCATGTTTCGTTGTTTCATACTACGTGTGCCAGAGTAGAGTAACGAGCGTAGCGGCTTGAATATACTCGTTTCCGCAAATACTTATGTGTGGGGAGAACTCTTATGCTTCGAGAAAAAAAAACGAATGACTTCAGTTCATATAGCACGAAGCCTCCATCTAGTCTCGGCAATATTACTCCGCTTAGCTGGAGCCTATGTAGCATTCACACATCAACTTTCTTCTGCCTCTCGCCTTCCATCTCCTTTCGTTTTCATTCCTAGGGGCAAGACTGGCAGCGTTGAACTCTCGGACGCCTAGCCACCGAGCCCTAAACATAGTATTAGCCTGCTGTTGTATATACGTCACTTTCATCTGGCCTTTCCTCGAGCGTTCTGAATCGGGACATGTCCGGCATCTTCATTCTCCTCCCTCTTCGCTCCTTCTGTAACGCGACGTCGGTGCTTAGTGCGTGTGGCAGTTCTGGTCTCTTTCATGTCAAGGCGACCCCTTGTGGGCAAGTCTGCTCTTTGGTCTCACTGTGTTGTGCGTGTGTGTTTAATGGGGTCTTAATGGGGTCGAGCGTGGCTCGTCCTATATGTACATAACTATACGAGTAGCCCGTGTAGTCAGTGTCTCTTGTCAGGAGAGGACGCCCAGTCGCAGCTGTGACCTGTGTATAGGTCGCACCTACTCGAGCCACCGTGTCCCTGCTTCGCTTGGCTCGCGACCGATCACTCGTCACGTGATGGGACTGCGAAGAATCAAGTGACTACCCTCTATTTCTTCCCAGGAGCGTGACAACTCGACTCGTAGATCGTAATCTCAATCGGACAAGCGATGCGTCATTGGACCTAATAAACGGATTGCCTGTTTTTGTTAAAGCCGTGCCTGGTTTGAATCTATTTCTTCCCGCCATGTGCTGTCTCGCTGTACCCTAGGGGAAGTGAACCTTCAGCTCGGGTGTAGCACAGATGGCTCTGAGCGGGCGCACGAAATTGCTCGCAACAAGTGGGTCCTTTGTTGTGTTGTGTGCAGGGTATGCTGCGTACCATGAATGACAGTTGTCACAGATGGGTGATTTCATTATTAGTCCACTAAACAAGAGTTCAGCGTATATCGACTAAAACGCTAAACGACTACGTTCAAAAACGGTTTTCTATCAAGGGCCATCACTCTGTTAGAGTTCTCAAACTATCAGTTTCACTGTATGGCTTTAGAGCTTTCTGTACGCAGCTTCGTTTGAATACCTTATAGCTTTCAGGCTAGGCGGATGTTCGGGAGACGATGGAGGTTTGAAAAGCTGAGAAGCCCTTGAACAAGAGGTGTTTGGAGTGACCCTCTTCAGCTGCACCACGTGCTCAAAGACATTTCACCTCTTACAGCATGCTGGGCTACGGTTTAAACACTACCACTGTGTGAAAACGTGTGTTCAATTTTGTGCGTCAAATATTTTGCTGACAATGATGCATTTCGCTCTAAAATTGTGAGTGAATTTGCTTGAAGTAGCGACGAAACGTTTCACAGCATGATTCGTTTTACATATGATCCTAAGTTATTAACATTTATAGCTTAAGTGGCAAGCGACGTCGGCGTGTCGGTTGTAAGTGGTCAAACTAGATATTGAATTATTGGTGTACAGCACCTCAGCGAGCATACGTGGACCACGCTTTCCATTTAAACAATAAGTACAAAATTATAAAGAATTGGTAGCTTGAGTGAGCTGAGTGGCGTCTGCAGTGTCTTCACGCTTATGTGGAAGATGAGCTTATATGTATACTCAAGCTGCTATAAGCATTTCCCAGCTTCCCATAGTGACTTAGAAGTGTACCAGTTTGCGCTAGTTGGTATGGCATGACGATAGTTATAGCGCAAGAGCAGAAGGACTTCTTTCTGTCCCTTTGTCGTCGTTCTGCTCTCGCGCTGAAACTAACGTCTTCCCGTTGTGACTTCATCAGAAGCTCACCGCGTCCGCAGTCTTTGACAATCAACACGTAATCGGAAGAACACGAAGTACTCAGCAAATTCAAAGCTTCTCACTCTCCTGCGGTGAAACAGAGGTTTGGAGGACTAGGCGAACATGAAATTGTTAAGCGTTAATTAGTCAGAGCCTTTTTCTAGTTTGATGTCAAGTGAAGAAAGAGAAAGAGTCTTTTTCAAAACATGCGGTTGCGTCAACCCCTTGTGTTTCGTGAAGTGGATTATGCGGAGTGCGTACCGGACAGCATGTACTTTGTATCAAAGGTTCTTTTGAGGCACTTCCCAGAAAAAAGGTGTTCAAGGACACCCGGTATAAAACTGAAGCGGCAACTGCGCGCACGCTTTTCCGCAATTGCAATGTTTTAGAGGCGAAGCGAACACGCAGAAAGGATGGGCAAGGCGGGCTGGGGATAGTTCTCGCAGTGTACCAGCTACTGACAAGCGCCTGTTTCGAGTGTTGTGTCGCACGTTCGAGTCCCTGCCGGAAAACTTCATTGAATCGGGTCATTGAGTAGAACATATGAGAAAGACGTTCTCGTGTTGAATTCCGACGCGTAATAACCAATCTTAGGTGCTTTAAATGCACTCTGCAGTTGCCGCTACTTTCATTACTTGTACTGCTTATAAGGTGTTCAAGTCACTTGGAGTATGGATGTATCTACATCAACTTAATCACAGCGAAAACATCGCCTCTGAATTTCTGTTTCACTGTAACAGTAACGAAACATAGATGCGCCAAGTGTGCGATACAGATCTAAATACCTGGAAAAATATGATCGAATATTATAGACGCCAGTGTACACATGGTGAAAAACGCAAAATAGAGGGAAAAACAAAGGGATGATATGAACGAAACAACTGTTCCGACACAAGTGGCTTATTATACTGTTTCAAGAAAAAAAAGCGAGCAAGTGAGAAAAAGCAGCGTAAAACATTTTACAATTGTACACGTAATATCATTGAACAGCAAGTCAAGATGCATGCACTATAAACTCGAACAACTACGGGAGTATATGCAACAGAAAGCTACGCAAATTATAAATAACAACATGAAAAACAATTTACAAAAATATGCACTGGTAAAGCTAACTACAGATGCGTATGCTTAAAGACACACTCAAGGCAAGTACAGCGTTCAGTTGTATCAGTAAATGAAACCTCTGCGATAACTAAAAGATACTGCCGCATGCGCTAGTAGGAGACCTGGAAGCAGAAAAAGAGGACATTCCCGAAATAAACATGGCGCCCTTAAGTTTTCACTCATACCCACCGAGACGACATAAAACTTCGCTGCGTCTTCTCCGGTAAAATACATCCTTTTGGTAAATAATATTTCCGTTTCACTCAAAATCAACCAATGATTCAATCGTATCACGTCTCCAAAACTTTCTCTATATACACGAAGGTAAGTGAAAGCTTACCTCCGTCTGAAACGCACTTCAACGACTAATTCACGTCGTTACTAAACAGAGTTGGTTGTTGCTGTCCGTGTAAATCATGGACCTCCCGGATTGCTTTCCCACTATGTGTAGCACCAGCTTTTTGCTCCGCAAAGTTTACGCCTTCGAACTCTTACACCGGAAAAAGAATCCCAAATTAATGCGCTTTTAATGGCGCCTCGATCAGTATACATACAAACAAGTTCTTCTGGGCCTCTTCTGCATGCGGCCCTGTAACAAAGACATGCATGCATTCAAAACAGAATGTAACATGTGTAACGATTACTATAGCCTGCAAACTCGAATTCTATAGAGAGCTTATCATCATAGTCGCGCTCGTTCCCATGCAACATGCGTTATCTATCAACAACTACATAACTATGTGGCTACGCACATACGAAAAGAAATGGTTTTTCGTCGGCGATGCGACTCCTTCATTCGTAGCGGTGGCACACACAACAATGTTTCAGGCCATCCGGCAGAAACATAATTATCGGAAAAATTGCCCCTTTCGTTGCCTCTCGGGTTGCACGTAGGAAAGCCTTATCGAAAGCCCTAACGCAGTACGACATTTTATTGGTTTAGATACGATACCATCCGACTATCACCTATACGAGCAAGATGCTTACAGCAACTATATTGCCTGCGTCGTAAAGGTGTTCGTTTGTTCTCCTCCACTTTCCAAATAGATTCAGTTTGTTTGTTTGTTTTCAATCAGCCAGCGCAGCTGTATTGACCTCTTCCGGGTTGCTTCTCCTTCTTCAAAGCAACAACAACAACAAAAAACACCCACAAATCCCTTCGCTTGAAAGAAATAAATAACAAAACAGATTTACTCTAGTGCTTTGTTCACCCATTATAATGATAATAAATGGCGCGAGAAAGAAAATAGGCGCCTAATTTTCGTTGACCAGGTGGGGCTGTCACAAGCGCTTTAAACTGTAATTACACTGATTGCCGAGACGCTCGAGTGATCAGTGGAAAGAGCTCTTCCGGAGCTGCATCTTTCGTTGGCTCTTCCGTTGGCGAATGAGCGCGACCCCTTGTTGTTCTCCCGGCGCCTGTGGATAATCGTGCGGACTAAAAAGGACACGGTCACACACACGAGCCCTTGCCTCGTTCCTCGAAAAGCTCTCTCGCGTCAATGGCCGTCACAGATAGCGACGGGCTACGGTCACAACCGGCCGCACTCCGGGAGAGACGCGTCTGTAGAGCGGAAGCCTCCGAGCGTGTAAAGGAAAATGCTTGTCCATCGATATCTGCCATTCGCAGTTACGCACGTACCACCTCT